GGGTCTAGGGTTTAGGGTTTAGGGTTTAGGGTTTAGGGTTTAGGGGGATGGGTTTAGGGGGATGGGTTTTCGGGCTTGAAGCCCTAAACCATAATAGCGTTTTGAGAGTTTGGAGGGCTTTGAGGGTTTGGACTTTGGGGCTTCGGGGCGATAAACCCGAAACGCTAGCAAAGAGATTCTTTGCATCAGGAACCCGTGCTTATTCCTGTCCCAAGACAAGCAAACCCAACCACAAAAAGAGTCCTCTTTTGTCTTGAGCCAAATAGTCGGTAGGCAACATGAGTATGTACATGAAACAGTTACACTACCTACTGCCACTGCTGATTTCTGCTGCGAATATCTTGCTCATCAGCCCTTTTCAATATTCTCTCAATGTCACGACAATCCAGAAAGATGATTCCAAGAAGCCAGAGCCTTAAATTGCAAGCACAATACGCTGTTCTACAACCCAAACCCTAAACCCTAGGATGATGGTTCGGAACCTCGCTTGAAGAATCCCTCCACTGCGCAGCAGAGCACCAAAAAATGGACCAACATCTTGGCTGAAAGAGTTGGACACTTCAACAGAGTTGCCGTTACGGCAACGACGCGGATACATAGTGGGGTGGCACGGCGCCCGTACTCTGGCAATGAACTTCACTCAGCCCTAAACCCTAAGACCTAAACCCTGAATTGCCATTCTTTGGACGTCTCCTCACCAAGCTGCTCGCACTTTGTCAAGCGCCCGGGCAAGGCCTTTCACGCACAGGCTGGCAGAAATCACCTTCCGAACCCCCAAAAAAACTGTGGGGTTTAATTAGGGATTAGGGTTTAGGGTTTAGGGCTTAGGGTTTAGGGTTTAGGGATGTTGATTATGGAAGAACCCATCAGGAGTTAGACCCAGAAGTAGCCTAGGAATAACAAGAGCGCCCTTTTTGGTAGAAAAGGCTTCTAAAAGGACCTCGACGCAGGGAATAAGGGCCTACTCTGGGTCCAAGGGAATCTTGGGTCACCTACCACAAGAATAAGAAGTTTTGGGATTCTATAAACCCTAAACCCTACATCCTACACCCTAAACCCGAAACCCTAAAAGGCCCAGGGCTTAATGATTTGAGGCCTTGCGTAGAGGTTCCTTTGGAAAAAAAGGGAGTTCCGGAATAACCTTGAACATCAAACCGCTCTACTTCAGTGGCCCACAAGGCTGTAGTGTCAGACAGGGTTTAGGGTTTTGGAGTTTTGAGCGAAAGTTTTGGGCGGGTTTTGAGCAGGTTTCGGTTTTTGCTTTGGCACGGTTTTGGGCGGGTTTTGGGCGGGTTTCGGTTTTTGCTTTAGGATCATTCAGCCCTCATATAGGTGGAATAGATTCGGAAAGGCTTTTAGTTGCCTCCGGGAGGTTTAGGGGAATTGAAAATGTGGCCTCGCGAAAGTTTTAGGCGGGGTTTGGGTGGCCGGGTTTCGGTTTTTGCTTTAGGGTCATCAGCCCTTCATATAGGCGGAATAAATTCATCTTCAGAGGCCTGGAAAGGCTTTCAGTTGCAACCCAGAGGTTTAAGTGAATTGAGAAGGCGGCCTTTCGAAGGCGCTTTTGATTGATTTACTTAAGCTCGGCTTGTCACTTGTTTAGACAGACAGCTTTGGACATTCATAATGATACCACATACAATTTCTATTTACCCTGGTCTTGAGGGTTTAGGGTTTAGGAGTTTAGGGTTTAGCGTTTAGGGTTTAGGATTTTAGGGTTTAGGGTTCTACGGTTTTGCAGGAGTGCGTAGCGCTTTTCGGTCCTAAGGATAGAGGCCCAAGGCCTGCGGAGGTAAGAGCATTTTGAAGACTACCGCCCTCTTATTAAGGGTTTGACTGGCCCCTACTGCAAAGGAGGTTGTCTACGGGGGATGTGACCTCGGCTACACACTGTACCGAACAGCAAAACAGATGGAATTTCACAAGGGGTTTAGGGTTTAGGGTTCCAGGGTTCCAGGGTTCTAGGGTTCTAGGGTTCTACGGTTCTACGGTTTAGGGCAAGAAAGAAGTGCCGCGGTCGGACCTGGACAGCACTCTCCACCTGTGTTAGGCGCTCGGTGATGGCGGCCTGCTGGATACTGTGAGGGCCGTCTAGCAGGGTATAGGGTTTAGGGTTTCGGGTTTAGGGGTTTAGGAATACCCTAGCCCAAAATAGGTTCACCTAAGATGTATAGCAGGATCTATAAAAGTTAACTACCCCGCCCCTAAGAGCATAAACCAAAACCCTAACCCACGCCCGAGACATCTAGCTTTTTGCATCGGATGAGAAGCCATTACCGTGATGCCTAGGAAATGGGGAGCTGACAAGCGAAGCCCCAAAGAGATACGGCGCAACTGGCAATTCATGTAATCTAGGGGAACTACGATTCTTATATTCCTTTATGGTCCCTATATAACTATACTACGCAGAATTACCCCCCCCCCCCTCCCCCGCGCCAAAAAAAGAAAAGACCCCTGATATAGCCTAGAGTGCCCTAAACCCTAAACCCTAAACCCTAAACCCTAAACCCTAAACCCTAAACCTTAAAGAGTGCCTTATGCTGCAATCCTCAAGCCATGGTCCCTGGCTCCCAGGTGTTGGGGGGAGGGTTTAGGGTTTAGGGTTTAGGGTTTAGGGTTTAGGGTTTAGGGTTTAGGGTTTAGGGTTTAGGGTTTAGGGTTTAGGGTTTAGGGTTTAGGGTTTAGGGTTTAGGGTTTAGGGTTTAGGGCTTCATCATGTTGGGACTTCTTCTGTTGGCTGCGGGCTCTGCTGCCTGCGTGCGGAATCACCTGTTCTCTAAATGTTCGTCCCTTTTCGGGGTACCACAAACAAGAGGGGCCGCCTTGTACTACGGACCCCAGAAAAGACCACAATTTAGAGAAGTGGCCACCTGGGTTTAGGGTTTAGGGTTTAGGGTTTAAAATTGAGGGTTTGAGGGGTTTGAGGGTTTGAGGGTTTGAGAATTTTACGGCTTTAGGACTCACGAGTTGGGATTTATGGTTTTGGGTTGAGATGTTCGCCCCTTATACTCACAGTCCTTAATAGGGATTATCATAAGGGGTACTGTAATCCCTATGAAGAACTGGTAGTACAAGGGAGAAACATCCCAAGTTTTGGGTTGCGGGCTTGGGGGTTTGTGGCGTGCGGCCGGGGATTCCCTAGACCCTAAACCCTAAACCCTAAACCCTAAACCCTAAACCCTAAACCCTAAACCCTAAACCCTAAACCCTAAACCCTAAACCCTAAACCCTAAACCCTAAGCGAAGAATATGGGCCTCGAAGGGCCTGTGGGAAGCCTCGACCACCTGCAGTCAGAAGACTTGGCTCTTACATCACCCAAACACCCTAAAATCAAGGGACTAAAGGGGGGGACCTTTATCTAGCAATTGCTTAAAAATGTATTCTTCCTTATAAGGCGGAATATAGCGATTATGTTTTTTTTTTTGGGGGGGGGGGGGAGGGGGGGGTTTCTTAAGCAAACAGTAGTTATAAGGGACCCTAGTAGGGACTACGTAGGTATATAGGGACTATATAAGGTTTTCTAGGGGCTAAAAAAGGGGAATCAGATTAAGGGTCCCTTCTGGGGGGTCCCTGCTTATTCTCCTTAATAGAATCCGACACAACCTGAAATCCTGTAATCAGCCCTTTAAAGCCCTATAAGCCCTTTAAGCCCTACAAACTAGACCCTAGAAACCCAAGACCCCCGAGAGTAGCCTAGGAACAAAAAGGGTGCCCTATTCGGCTTAAAGAGGGTTTAGGGTTTAGGGTTTAGGATTTAGGGTTTAGGGTTTACCCCAAAAAGGGAATACGGGTCTACTTGGTGTCCTTTAACCCTATACCCTATCAACCCCAAATCCGTCATCTATCAACCAGAACCCTTTGCGGTGCGCCACCAACTTTCTACAGCATTCGGTTTTGGGGCATACTTTGTAGCACGGTACCCTTTGCGGCCTGGGTTACCTCATAAGGGAACCCAGAACCAAACAAAAGCTACAGGGCACCACCACACCCTAAACCCTATAAACCCTAAACCCGAAACCCCAAACCCTAAACCCTAAACCCTAAACCCGCTCAGCTGCCCTTCCCCGCCCGGCCTCGTCCGTCTCGGAAGGGCTGCGGCTGCCAGACCTCCCCGCCTCGACGGCAAGCTGGGCGGCCTTCGGGTTCAGGGTTTAGGGTTTAGGGTTTAGGGTTTAGGGTTTAGGGTTTAGGGTTTAGGGTTTAGGGTTCTGTGTACGGACTTCTCCCCGAAAACACATACCCCCAAGCCCTGGGTTTCGGGTGGTAGGACCTACTTCGGGGCGGCCTGCATAAGGTTCTCCGTCTTCGCCAGGCCTTCGCGCAACTTCGCCTCCAGTTCCTAGCAGCCGAGTCGCTGTGAGGGTTTAGGGTTTAGGGTTTAGGGTTTAGGGTTTAGGGTTTAGGGTTTAGGGTTTAGAGTTTAGGGTTTAGGGTTTAGGGTTTAGGGTAGCTACTACGGATATTTACTTAAAGAGGGTCCAAGGTGGGGCCTATATCCGCACATTTTTTGCAGCGCATCGACCACTCAAGCCGTACATCCTTGCAAAGAGCCTGAGAGATGAGTCGAGTAGACGCCGAGGCCCGGGAGCGTTCGAGTGGGGAACTCTGCCAAGCCCTACAAAACGCACGGCTGCCAGCCCTCTAAACCCTAAACCCTAAACCCTAAACCCCAAACCCTAAACCCTAAACCCTAAACCCCAAACCCTAAACCCTAAACCCCAAACACTAAACCCTAAACCCTAACCGGAGATCCCGCGGACCTCCATGGAGGATGCGATCTGCCGCCCCTTCTGCAGCTGCTCCTGGGTTTAGGGTTTAGGGTTTAGGGTTTAGGAGGACCCAAACCCAGCGACTTTCTCCAGATGATGGGGATGAACCCAAAAACCCCAAACCCCAAACCCCAAACCCCAAACCCGAAACCCGAAACCCTAAACCCTAAACCCAACAGCCCTTCAACCCACGAGCTCGCCAGGTCCTGCTCCAGCCGGCTGATCCGCCGGGAGAGGTGCGACTCCTCTAAGGCCTCACTGGCCTTCGACCGGCTAAAGGCTCTCTTTGGGGTTCCCCAAGTTAGGGTTTTCTAGGGTTTAGGGTAGGGTTTAGGGTTCAGGGTTCAGGGTTTAGGGCTTTTAGGGCTTTTAGGGCTTTTAGGGCTTTCAGGGTTTTCAGGGTTGTCAGCACTTTCAGGGTTTTCAGGGTTTAGGGTTCAGCGTTTAGGGTTATTTTGCGAGTCCTTATATAGACAGGTTCACCCCTGGAACCTATACAGGATATTCTACTCTATTTGGGATGTATTAGGGGTGCCCCTACTTCAGGAGAGACCCATGTGGATGCAGGCTTCCCAGCGCACATATCAGCACCAGCGGTAGCTCGCCCCCACATGCCGAAAACTCCAACCGCGAGCTCCCGAGGAAAGATTCCTGAGAGGCCCAGACCTAAACCTTAAACCCTAAACCCTAAACCCTACACCCTAAACCCTAAACCGCAGCTCTGGTCGTCTGAGCCTTGCCGCAATTCGGCTTTGTGGTCTGCACGCGCCCTTGTGCGCCATGGTTTAGGGCTTAGGGCTTAGGGTTTAGGGTTTAGGGTTTAGGGTTTAGGGTCAGACCAGCACCAACTTACCAAGCTTTTCGGACACCCCACACCCCAAGCTCAAAAACAATGGGCAGGATCTCCTTTACACACCCCACCTGGTTCTATAAAACGAGAAACCCAAACCCTCCAAATCAGGTACAACAAGTCCTCAACCCTAAACATCCCTAAACCCTAAACCCTAAACCCTAAGCCCCAAACCCTAAACCCTAAACCCTGCATCTCCCACATTCTCTCCGTCTTAGTGCCTGAAAGCGGTGAGGAGAACTGACTTGCTCGTGGAACTCCTGGGGCGCTGCGCCAGCCGTTCCGCGCTTCGGATTGAGTTTAAGGCTTAGGGTTTGGGGTTGTTTAGGGTTTAGGGTTTGGGGTTTAGGGTTTAGGGTTTGGGGTTTGGGGTTTAGGGTCTAGGGTTTCGGGTTTCGGGTTTAGGGTGCAGCTTCCGGGGTGCTCGAAATCCTTAGGTTCCTGAGTGGGCTCGGATTGGTTACGCTGCGCTCTTTCATGGGATTGGTTCCCCTGCCTGGGAAGCTGTTATCTTGTAGGCAGACACACAAATAAGCATATATGTATATATATGTGTATATATATATACACATAAAACAGCACATCTACATGTATCTGTGGCATTCATCTTTTTGCATACGCGCGAACTATGTATTTTCATGACCTGTACTCAGATCTCAGATATTGTGCTATAGAATGCCTAGTGTTGACATATGGGGGTTTCCGAAATTCGGGGTACCTTACTGGGGGTCCTTGTTCTAAGGAAATCCTCTATTTGGGGCTGCTCTACTTGGGTCCCCTACTTTCGTAAACTCCCATATAAGCAGGTTGAACTGAAGCCCTGTGTATGTCTGGGTGTCGATGGGGGCTGGGATGCTAATATAAGGTCACGACCGAGAGTGGGCGAAAAAAGTCCGAGGCTGACTATATAGTTTAGGGTTATTCAGGGTTTAGGGTTTAGGGTTTTTAGGGTTTAGGGTTTAGGGTTTCGGGTTCAGGGTAGGGATACATTCATATTTCAAACTTAAGGCTCCAAGACGCGGCTTCCACGACCTAAAGGTTATCAGCCCCTCAATCTCCACTGACCTCAAAAAGCGGACTCCTCCTGAAGAGCTTCGCACTTCGCGACGCGGCTTGTCAACTCATCCAGCGTCTGTTGCGAGTCGGGTGCCTCTTTGGGGTTGAAAAGCCTTAAGTGCTTGGGGTTTAGGGTTTAGGGGGTTTGGGGTTTAGGGTTTATGACTAGGGTTTAGGGTTCAGGGGTTCAGGGTGGAACGCTTGCAGTTTAGGATGCACATGTAGCATCAACAAGTTCACCCTTCCCCCCAGAATCGGTTTTGGTTTTGGCCTGGAAAGTTGGCAATGATAATTTGAGCCACTGCATGGTTTCTCTGCATTTCAACTTTGAACAAGTCCGCTCTGGTCCGGTGCCTCGTGATCAGTACGTTGCCGCCACAATGGATGATTCAAAGTGGCATCGTGCCCCGAACTTTGTCCGCGGCTGATTAACCTAGCTCCTGAAAACTTCCAACAAGAAGAGTAGTATTAGAGCCCAGCGATTCGTAAAGGATTCGGATTCACTGTGGTACTGTCAGACGTCGATATACTGCAAGTACTATACCCCGAACCCTAAACCCTACACCTAAACCCTAAACCCTAAACCCTAAACCCTAAACCCTAAACCCATAACCCATAAACCCATAAACCCTAAACCCTAAACCCACGAGAGGCCTCCGGGAGATCACGCTGCGACTGGAGAGCGAGGCGTAGTTCCTGGCGGTTGTACGCCAAGGCGCGCCCTCTAGCGAATGTTTGCCTGAAGGCTCCCTCTTGCCGTTTAGGGTTTAGGGTTTAGGGTTTAGGGTTTAGGGTTTAGGGTTTAGGGTTTAGGGTTTAGGGTTTAGGGTTTAGGGTTGGGGCAAACATTTGTTGCATGGTGCTGTACCACCTCTTCCCTTCACTTCAGCTCAACCCTCAAGCGTACTGAACTGTGCGCGCGATCAGCGACTGCGTGATGTGGGAACCGCTCGTACCACAAGATACTTTACATTCATGACGAGTCGAATGTCTGCAGCCCCGAACACACGAGTAGTCGAGCAAGGAGCATACCAAGCTACATCCAAATATTTCGACCAGAAGCCTTCCTGATTGGATCCTGCCTAAACCTCTTTCCAAACCCTAAACCCTAAACCCTAAACCCTAAACCCTAAACCCTAAACCCTAAACCCTAAACCCTAAACCCTACACCCTAAACCCTAAACCCTAAACCCTAAACCCTAAACCCTAAACCCTGAACCCTAAACCCTGCCTCCTCACTCTGCTCACACTGAACGACTCGCGCTGCGAGCTCGGCGACCATGTTCTGGGACTCCCTGGACGCCTGATGCAGGGCGGCTGCGTGGAGGTTCCGGGTACTTAGTAAACCATTATTTGTGGGTTTAGGGTTTAGGGTTTAGGGTTTAGGGTTTAGGGTTTAGGGTTTAGGGTTTAGGGTTTAGGGTTTAGGGTTTAGGGTTTAGGGTTTAGGGCAACCCATAATAAGTGTAGTTAGAACCAACTTAGAAGCCCCTTAAGTGCCCTAGTAGGGTTCTAATTGGGCTAGAAGTGCAGTTGTAGTTGGGTTACTAAGTACCTTGAACCTCCAAGGGGGGTTTTGTCAAGGTCAAAACAGGACTTCCGATGGCAGGTTAGCACTGTAGGGCTTCTAGTGTTCTGGGTCGAGCGACTCAGGGTTTAGGGTTTAGGGATTTAGGGTTTAGGGTTTAGGGTTTAGGGTTTAGGGTTTTAGGGTTTCGGGTTTAGGGATTTAGGGGGCTTAGGGCTGATGGTTTCGGAGCTTAGGGATTTAGGGTTGTTTCTGGGGTTAGGAGTTTAGGCGTTAGGGTTTCGTGGTTGAGGGGCTTGGGACGAAGATTGGATACCGCAACACCCTGAGGCCCTTATCCGTGTGACAACCGAGTCCATCCTGTGAAACAGTTCGGGGTCCAGGGTTTGAGGATTGGGGTTTAGGGTTTAAGGAGTGGGTTTTTGGGTCTAGGGTTTAGGGTTTAAGGATAAGGGTTTGTGATTTAGGGCTCAAGGATTAAGGCTTTAGGGCTTAGGGCATTGGGCTTAGGGCAATGAATGTCTCGCAAGAAACAGCCCCTACCAGCACTTGTCCAGCAATGCCAGAGTCCGTGCAAACAGGAGCAGTTATTAACCGAGGGCAGACCTAGAGGTATTGCTTGTTGGCGCTAGTCTTGTTTCATCTCGCCTTCACAGTTTCGGGTACCAAAGCAGGCTCATCAATTTGGGCCAACCCCCGACAGATAAGTGATGACGTGTCTGGCCAGACAACTGGAGAGCAGTCCGCTTCCCGAATGTCCTTGCGGTTTTGCCAAAAAGGGTACTGAACTCTGCTGGGGCTTTTTTGGGGTTTAGGGCTTCCGGGCTAGAATCAGGATTATATAGGCTTGTGGGGCTAGATTAGGATAACAGCAAGAGTATACATCCTTATCATCCCGGCACGCCTTTGTTTTATCGCACAGGCTTCGTGACTTCGTGGCTTCCGGACTACAGAACTTCGCGAAGGGCCCCCCTCAACCCTCAACCCTAAACCCTAAACCCTAAATGTAGGTTTTTGTGTCGAGGAGCTATGGCCCATTGGGCTTCGGGCTGTGCACGCACTTGAATGACTTGACCCGGATGCTGAACACCTCGCGACTCCTCAGTTGCCCTAAGCCCTAAGCCCTAAGCCCTAAACCCTAAACCCTAAACCCTACTAAACCCTACACCACCAACCTTTGCAGGAGGTGATGCCGCCAAACCTTGCTGTTAGTGCGAAGTACAATACATAGAGCCTTCCATCCAGCAGAAATTAACACGTTTTTGGGAGGACTCAAGGACCCCCAAAACCCTCAATAGGCTAGGGCCTGGGGTTTTGGGATTTAGTTAGGGTTCAGGGTGTAGGGTTGTTTAGGGTTTTTGGCTTAGGGCTTAGGGCTTAGGGCTTAGGGCTTAGGGTTTAGGGTTTAGGGTTTAGGGTTTAGGGTTTAGGGTTTAGGGTTTAGGGTTTAGGCTGTTCAGGGTTCCGCGTTCAGGGTTCAGTTAGGGTTTAGGCTCAGGGACTCCGCTGGAGCCTTGGGGGAGTGTCGGGACCGGAGTGTAGATCTGAGCACGCCTAGCGGAAACTTCTTGTTGGGCGAGGAAGGCCCTATCATCCTCTAGGGTTTAGGGTTTAGGGTTTAGGGTTTAGGGTTTTAGGGTTTTAGGGTTTTAGGGTTTAGAACGGGACTCTTGTGTAGTGGCCATGATCCTTGTGTTGAGGGATTCTCTCATGATACCATTGACAAGGCACCCCCTTGTACCCCCTGAAGCCCCTTGTACCCACCCGTTAACCCCCTTAATCCCCCCCTTCATCCCCCCTCACGAAACCCTGCCCTAAAGACTAAACCTAAAAACACCTAAACCCGAAACCCTCTAAACCCTCTAATTCATCCAGAAACCCTTCAAACCTAAAACCCTTCAAACCCCTAAACCCTAAACCCTAAACCCTAAACCCTAAAACAAAACCCTAAATCCTAAACCCTACACCACTAACCTTTGCAGGAGGGGGTGATGCCGCCAAACCTTGCTGTTAGTGCGAGGTACAATACATAGAGCCTTCCATCCAGCAGAAGTTAACACGTTTTTGGGGGGGACTCAAGGACCCCCAAAACCCTCAACAGGCTAGGGTTTGGGGTTTAGGATTTAGTTTTGGTTTAGGGTTTAGGGTATAGGGTTTTTGGCTTAGGGCTTAAGGCTTAGGGCTTAGGGCTTAGGGCTTAGGGTTTAGGGTTTAGGGTTTAGGGTTTAGGCTGTTCAGGGTTCAGCGTTCAGGTTTCAGTTAGGGTTTAGGCTCAGGGACTCCGCTGGAGCCTTGGGGGTGTCGGGACCGGAGTGTAGATCTGAGCACGCCTAGCGGAAACTTCTTGTTGGGCGAGGAAGGCCCTTTAGGGTTTAGGGTTTAGGGTTTGGGGTTTAGGGTTTAGGGTTTAGGGTTTAGGGTTTAGGGTTTAGGGTTTAGGGTTTAGGGTTTTAGGGTTTTAGGGTTTAGAACGGGACTCTTGTGTAGTGGCCATGATCCTTGTGTTGAGGGATTCTCTCATGATACCATTGGCAAGGCATCCCCTTGTACCCCGCTAACCCCCTTAATCCCCCCTTCATCCCCCCTCACAAAACCCTACCCTAAAGACTAAACCGAAAAACCCCTAAACCCGAAACCCTCTAAACCCTCTAATTCATCCAGAAACCCTTCAAACCTAAAACCCTTCAAACCCATTAAACCCTAAACCCTAAACCCAAGGGCCCTTCGGCTCAGTAGATTAACTCTGGCTCCTTGGCAGTGCGTGGACATAGGAACTGAAGGCTTGGGGTTTGGGGTTTAGGGTTTGGGGTTTGGGGTTTGGGGTCTGGGGTTTAGGGTTTAGGGTTTAGGGTTTGGGGTTTGGGGTTTGGGGTTTGGGGTTTGGGGTTTGGGGTTTGGGGTTTGGGGTTTGGGCTTTGGGGTTTAGGGCTTCGGGTTTTGGGGCTTTAGGGTTCTAGGGGCGTAGGGTTGCGGGCATGGGGTTCGGGGCGCTGTTTTGGCTTCGAGCCCACACATGGGTCAGAGTTAGGCATTAGGGTTTTGGGGATGTCTGAGGTTTCGGGTCTGGTGGTTTAGGGTTTGGAGTTTTAGGGGTTAACGCCATATTTAAACTAAGGCTTTAGAGAGTTTCAGGTCGTGGGCCCCTTTAAGGGTGAAAAATGCTAAACCCGAGATCCCAAACTCTAAACATTCAAGTCCCACACCCGAAGCCCTAGATCTTCAAGCCCCAAACCCGAACCGCATCGAACTGAGTGAGCTGCCAGTCTTGTGGAAACAGGAAACCCAATATCATCCCACTGTTGTAGCCACACCGCCCTAAACCCTCTAACCCTAAACCCTAAACCCTAAACCCTAAACCCTAAACCCTAAACCCTAAACCCTCTAACCCTAAACTTCAAACCCCAAACCCGAGACCCTAAGCCACACAGCCCTTATTGTGGAGCATGGCTTCTCGTTTGCAGAACAAGGGTCCCACCCCTAAACCCTAAACCCTAAACCCTAAACCCTAAACCCTAAACCCTAAACCCTAAACCCTAAATTTATACCCTAAACCCTGAATCCTCGAGAGCAAAGCAAGCCAAGGTTCATCCCTGGCCTCTTTACACCCTAAACCCTAAACCCTAAACCCTAAACCAAAAACCCTAAACCCTAAAACCCTAAACCCCAAACCCCAAAGCCTTAACTAACCCTAAACCCTAAACCCAACTCTGTGTCGCACAAACCCGACGATTCGAACTCCGAAGCCGTAACTGCCCTGACTTGCTCTGAGTAGGAGAGCTGTGGGATGAGGTAGTTACATTCTGTCCCTCCGTAAGTAACCAATTATAACTGTACCTATGACCCACTTATATGCCCTTTAAGTGCCCTACTATGGTTATAAGTACAGTTATAGTTGACTGGTTCATAAGTACCATGACCCTCCAAGTAGGGGACTGTTTAGGGAACCTACTGACTCCCAAAATCCCTACTTGAGAGCTAGTAAAAAATCTAACCCTCGAGACCCTCAACCCTCGCACCCTTCATAAGTCTGAGGCCAGGGTACCAATGGCTCACCTCGAGCTAGCTTGTCCTTGGCGTCAGCCCACTCGGAGTAGAGGCTGACAACCTGCACGCGCTCCACTACTTGGAGGCCCATGGTGCTTATGAACCAACTATAACTGTACATATACAACCCGCTTGTATGCCCCAGAAGTGCCCTAATATGGTTGTAAGTACAGTTAGAAGTACAGCTAGACTTGAAGTACCATGAACCCTTCTTCGTCTTTGACTGATGGCCGTAACTACCGCCGTTTACCTGCATGGTTGGTGTGCGGCAAGCTCACGTGGCTTAGGGTTAAGTTCCAACAAATATTCCTCCTTCTTCTGATGTGCCTCTTCTCAGTTACCCGATGATACGAGCCATACTACTCATGGCAGTAACCCCTGAACCCTCACACCCTTGGACCCCTAAACCCTAAACCCTAACCCTAAACCCTAAACCCTAAACCCTAAACCCTAAACCCTTGAAGGGCCCACAATTAGTCTGGAGCCCTTTCCGTGGCGGCTGGGGAAGCAGCCAAGGCGCCTGGATAATGCTTCCTAAACCCTAAACCCTAAACCCTAAACCCGAAACCCTAAAGCAGCCAGGGCGCCTGGATGATGGTTGCCAGTCCGAGGCCCAACACCTGAGTTGCTTCGACACCCTAAATACATTTATGGGTTTAGGGTTTAGGGTTCAGGGGTCAGGGTTTAGGGTTTAGGGTTTAGGGCTTAGGGGTTAGGGGTTAGGGGTTAGG